GCTCGCGCGCTGCTGTTGCATCACTGCAGATGAGAGAAACTTCAATGTTCAAACACCTTCAATTGATCGGACTCTTCACCTTGCCGTTATGTCACTCCTTTTCTCCTGGGAATTGAGTTAACTGAAAACCAATGTCAGAGTGTGTGCGTGCGATTGGATGACTGACCACCATCTACTATACATGTTTGTGTTCAGGGTTCAGCCGTGCGATGCAGACACACAATTCCCATTCCAAACACGCTGTGTGACGCTTTTAATCACGCTTGGCCCTTGATCAATCCCGTGCTTTTGCAAAACATCACCCTTATTTGTCCCTTTATACTTTCAGCACTCTGTTTGACGCTTTCAATTCAACATCTCTTCGACCATTCCGAACACGTGCGCAGGCCAAGCCGAGAGTCGGCTCCGATGCAAAGGACTCCAGTGAACGTTTGGGACGTGACTCCCGCAACGAGCAATGCACTGTCCTTACAGAGCAAATTAAATAGAATCATTATTTAAACGCATGTCACGAAAGGTAGCTTGAACTACCTGAGTTCTCCTTGCTTTAGCAAAAATGTATTACAATCAGGAGTTGGGATTGTGCATTCAACATTGTCCGACATAGTTAACACCCACGAACCAAAATGAATGGCACTAACTAAGGTTAATACTTATGCAACTATGTATAACTGGTAGATTTATGAGCGACGTACTTGTTGCTTTGATTGTTTTTTGTTTTTCTTCATATCCATGTGACATCAAGCCAGCTCAGAATGTCACAAGAGAACCATGCCTCTTGAAGACTTCTCCACTCCACACTGCACCCGCTCCCTCTTCTGAATACTTCAGACTTCAGTCAGCATGTGGCTGTGGGTCAAAACCAGTATACCTTGTTAGACCTACCTGGAAGGTCAAGCTACATGGTGCTGGGGCTCCAGGTTTGACTCATCCCATGTGAGAACAGCACAGTCCACTGCAATGCCGTTTTGAGGAGAGCACACGTACGTTCCGTGATGCTACTGTGCAGTCATTTGTCGACGGCTGCTTGGCACACCAACCTTGTTCTTTCAGTGCTCACTGTGGGTATATTTGTGGGTTTGGTTGTCATTCTTCAAAAAGCATGGCGCAAGAGCCAAACAGAAAGAGACGGCTCCATGATCCTGGACTGTGCAAGCAGGTCCGTTGGGTTTCTGAGGTCAGTTCATTGAGCAGGTGCTCCAAGCAAGCAACACGCCAGAGGTGCTCTCCCTGCTTCGTGCACACAGGTGCGAAGTCCCGCAGTGAAGAGTCAGTGTCAAAAGCTCTGTTGGACCATACAAGTGGCCTTTTTGAAGACTTCGTTCTTTTTCTTTGTGTTCATAACGAATCAATGAAGCTGAGCACGAGCTAGACTCGACCTTCAGGTGAAAGAAGCTATCCTTCTTGCGCTCCCAACAAGTAGCTGGGTTGCGAACTCCAGAAAAAGAATCCACAGGTTGCAATTCAGAGAATTGAAGTTCAGGAGTTTGTCTTCGACTCATTTGGATTGGAACCCAGAACCCTGAACCCAGAGATGGATTTTGTATGATTTTGTACAGAATTTTGCCAGGGCTGACTTGCGGCTAGCAGAGACGACAATGGTCCTTGAGCGGCTTCTGGAGCATCTTAGCTGACTGAGAGACGTTATGGCTGTGTAGTACCGCGTTGCTGCAACTACGCTGGCAGATAACCGGCCCACTTAGCAAGATCCAGTGCTGCTGTACCATTGCTTTCAATGATGCCAACACCTCAATTCCCCTTCAATCCTGTACACATTTATAGTAAATGGGTTGGTGGTCGGCCAGCCCACTTAGTGAGGTTCCGGCTCATACCGTTGAACGAGGCAAGCCGGACACTGACAAGGAATGCACATGAAACAATCCAACACAAACCATGCCACTCGAAAACCAACCGGGCCTTGCCAACAAAAAGCAAAGTAAGTCAATCTCGAGTTTTGGCTCACCTGTGAACCCTGGCCTATCACAGTCCTGAACCCAAAGGAGCCGCTCTCAGAGCCAATGAGACTTATATGGCAAATTTTGAGGATCTTTGCTTTGCTGAAGACGGTTAGAACTGCTGGAAGCGCAACACCTTTCAAGTGCCTCAGCATCCTTAGCTGCTTCCAAGCGAAAGGCATTTGTCAGAAAGTTGAAAGTTGAGGGCTGCTTTTCTGCCAGTTCAGAAGCTGCTTGAAATTGGAAGACGTACAAAAATCAGCCAAGTTGTTACAAATAGGTTGTTACAAACAGCCTGCCAACTTTCTTGGGTTTGCCAAGTTGCCTTTTGGCCTGTGGGGCACCGGTGCTATTCCAGCATCTGTTTTATTGCGTTTATTGTGTGTTAGTCGGCCCGTGTTGGCCCTGAATTCAGGAGATGCGTGGTTCCTTCATTTCCTCCCCAAACTCATTTGGCATAGACCAAATGATTGGGATAGACCAACCCACGCTCCAGCTCAGATGCCTGGGCATGTTTAGGTCTAGGTGCAAGCCGGGATTCTTGGACGCGAGTTGAAGTGAGGTCGAGTGTATGTGGTACTCCATGTGCCTCTCATTGTAGGTTGAATCCAAACTCGCCTCAAGCAGTCCACAGTCGTACCAGCCAAAAGCACCCCCTCATGCTGCCCAGGTTGTCTACAGACTCTGAGTTGCAGGTGCTTTTGGAAGAGGAGATTCTCAAAGAACTCCTTGAATCTCAGGCGGGTCGTCATGGCCGGGCTTCAAAATTAGATCCTTTTGCTGGCGACCTCATAAGACACAGAGTTGGTGCTTTTATACACAAGGAGAAGGACACTCGAAGGTGAAAAAGGCGAACCTGCGAAAAGAAGTTTGCTTCATGCAGTTGCCTCGCAAATTTGGATTGGTAGTCTAATGGGTAGTCCACCTTGACTTGGCTATGCAGAAAAGACTTTCTGTGACCTCTCGATTTTGAAGCCACTTGATGTTCCGTTCGATTCTGTAGCCAGTGGCAGACTCTGTCAGGTGCATGCTCTGAATGAGTCCCCACTTCGTGTCGAGCTGACAGTTGCATTGGCATCTTTGGGAGACACGCTCATCGGCCGTGGGCTTCCACAAGGCCATGCTTGGGGCCGGTCATGGCCGAGAAGTGGTAGCGTGTCGTGGGACAGTGTCAGATGTTTCAGGTCAGTGTCTACATGTTCTGTAATTTGCAGCGGTATCAAACCACCTCTGGTGACCACTGCACTGACCACCTGCTGTGGGAGTATGTAGGCCCAGCTAGGCTTTTGAACGCTGATATGTTCCACGGTGGATCGTTGGGGATTCATCATGATGAGGTTTGGGATTTGGGATGTTGATTTTGGGCACACCCACTTCGAAACCAACACCATCAAACTGGTCACCCAACTTATATAGCTTTGAACTTCGACAAGGGCCCGGACCTGTGAGCGACGCAGGCCAAGCGCTGCTGGAAGCCGGGTTGGGTGGCCTGAGGTTGAGGGAGATGAAGCTCTCTGAACTGAAGATGGTCTTGAGCTCATTGGCAGGTGCGAATTAGGAGGTCAGAAACAAGACTTCCAGGACTCCCGGATACTCGGGCCTCTTCATGGAAGATAGCACAATAATGAGAATTAGAGTGTTGCAGTATGGTTTGTCATCAAGAGAGGAGCACAGCTCGGAGTAATGAAGTTGTCAAATCTCACCGTGGTGCTGAAGTAAACTGCTTAGGATGCTAGGCTGTAGGACGTGGTGTGGTTCAGTTGACTACCTCCATTGGATTCACCTCCCGTGAAGGATATATGACATATGAGTCGTCAAAATTATCGTCATTTACTTTATACAAGGGCGTTTCGTGTGATTTTGGGTTTTCATGGGTTTTCCTTGGAAAACGATACGGGACGTTCAAAAAACGATACCTCTATTGTTACATGCATCATGTCCTTGACTTTTTGAGTTCATTTTCGTAAGTCGTCCTGCTACAGCAACTCTGCTGAGCAATTGTGCTGAAGGGTCTGAAGGGCGTCACTTCATGAACTGGTTTGTTCTTGCAAGTGTCACAGGCAATTAGGGATTGTGATTGCTTGTGTTTGGAGGGCTGTGTCCAGGCTCTTGGCTCATGGGCTGGCCCCAGCCTATGAGGAAAGGCTAGGCTCTGGAACAAGGTACACGCCTTTGTCCGCCTGTCTTGGCTTGGAAAGGGGCTGTTTCTTTTTGGTGTAGCGTGAGCGCAGCGCGTGTGCTTGCAAGCAGCTTCATGTCATAAAGCACACAAAAAGTCAACATCATAGAGCGACACCCCAGAACAACACACGAGAGAGTGCAAAAGGAAGCTTCTTAGACAGTGCCCCGCGGGCAAGTCTACCAAGGTGCAGGCGGGCTTGTGTCTGAAAGAGATCAGATCAGCAAACGAGCGGCAGAAGCCAGCAATGCTGCGCTTGCTGGAGCAGCCCTCCGTGCTGTTGTCCTGCCTCACTTCACAGAGCTCGTCACACTTCCAGTGTTTGCAGGGAATGCTCTCAGATCATGAGTGACCACGAATAGGGGTTCCAGTGTTTTGTTGTCTGTGCGCTTGTGCTTGCGTTGTGCTTGCTACTCGTATGATCCGTGACGTTCATTGTTGGTTGCAAGATGTTGCAAGACTCCACCATGCGGAGCGTAAAACCTACACAGCGATACATACAGTGCTCATTCTACCAAACATTATAAACAATACGGGACGTCCTAACGTAAGTATCCTCATGTCAACACGATAGACAAACACAAATATATGTGTATATATATATAGCAACCGTCATGTGACTGATAGCACTTACAAGCTTTTGTAAGGTGTAACTTGGGCAAACCGTTTCTTCACTTCAAGGTTGGAGGCCATCGCTAGTAGGTTGGAGGCCATCGCTCTTAGGTTGGAGGCCACTGCTAGTAGGCTGGAGGCCATCGATCTTGGGTTGGAGGCCATCGCTAGTAGGTTAGAGGCCATCGCTCTTAGGTTGGAGGCCATCGCTAGGTTTGAGGCCATCGCTCTTAGGTTGGAGGCCGTTGCTCGTAGGTTGGACGCCACCGCTCTTAGGTTGGAGGCCATCGTTAGTAGGTTGGAGGCCATCGCTAGTAGGTTGGAGGCGATTGCTCTTAGGTTGGAGGCCATTGCTTCTGGATAAAGCTAGAGCTAGAGTGAGGCAGAAATCAGAGCGCAGGTGTTGAGGAGCTGCGACGGGAAGCTTTGGACACCATGGCAGAACTGGTGCATCGCATGGGCCCGGACATCATGGTTTTGGTCTTAGAGGTCCTGGCAACTTACCAGGCCGGGTCAGGTTTGCACTGTGCTCTCAGGTTCTTAGGTGGGAAGTTTCTTGCGTGTGTTGCTTTTGGGTTCGCACTATTCATTTGGCTCCTACATTTTTAGGGAAACTTAACTGTCTTCAATGAGGTAGTTGATATTTGTTGCTGATAGGCTTCAAGAACTTTCTAAAACAGACCATAGGACCTAGGACGACCAGACAAGGAGTTCTTTTGGCACTTAAATCTTGTGGCAGGACTTGCCGCCGGACCACGACTTGATCAACGACATCATTTCCAGGGCCATACAGAAGGACTTCCGCTTCACGCCGCAACAACGGCCAGGGATCCTGGTAGAGGAAGAGCACGGGGGCAACAAGATCTGCTCGGATTGCTTGGATGTTTCACTGTGAGCACATGAAAGCTAGATAAACATGGGTGGCAGATGGTGGCAGAAACCATATGATACCTAAGGAGCACCATGCCAGAATGCCCTTGCAAACTCAGTCACATCTCCTGCTGGGGCTCCCTATTTTTTCAACCCCCTCACCCTATTTTTCCAACCCCCC